ACAGGCTCCAACCTGAACTCGGCGCTTATTCAAAACGAGCCTCGGACGAGAACACTATCGATGAATTATTTCCTCCGCGGCTTATTTCAGATGCAAACTCAAGTTCACGTTTGCGTGCTAAATTTGGCATTATGTCTTGTCCAATTTACCGGCGTGGTTGGCGACAGCGTTTCAAATGTCAAGCCGTGCTGCCGCCAAAACTGAAAGCCATGCAGAGCGAAAAGTTCAAGGCGGTTGACCTTCATTCAAGTCAGTACCCGGTGCGTCGACAGGCGGCGGAAACAAAGAGTCCGACCTCGTCCGCCGAGCGGAACCCCCCCCCCCTTCGCCAGACGCCGGCGGAGGGGGGGGGGGGCACCTGCCTCCCACCTGTCACCCTCGCCAGGCCCGGCGGAGGCGCCCGTTTTTGCGAGAGGGACGCGCCGTGAGACGCCCCGATGGGTCCAGCGACCGTCTCGTGTGAGGGTGACCATATCACGAGAACGGCCCCCAGTCAGGGGAACGGGAAAGTCTAGAGGACAGAGAACGACTCACGGGCCGGCAGGTCAGAGGGTAGCCAGAGACGGTGGGTGATCGCCAGCCCAGCGATGTACCGACAGTCAACCGAACTGCACGATCGGTGGTGCTATACCTGGCAGGAACGAGCCCACTGATCGACTTGGCATGATGTCGGAAATAGCTGGCCCGAGCCCGGAATGAGGCGGTGTCCAGCAGGTGGGCCGAGCGAGTAAATCAACAGTCAACTGATCCGCCACTTCCGATCGGAGGAAACAACTATGCGACGCGGCTGCCAAGCGGGTCGGAGTCGGCTCAGAGACCGCGGGCGGAGCGTTGTGCGGTCACTGAGGAGCTCAGGGTCGGAGTCGGCGCCGCCCCGGCCGCTGCGGCATTACCAGCGACAATGGAGAGCTCAAAGCTGATTCCGAGTAAGCGCCATTGTCTGTGGGAATATCGGTGGACGCTGCTCCCAGGCCGGTCATCTGTACCGAAGGACGCGCTACTGGCTGTGCGGGGAGCCAGCGGAGGGTCGGACCAGCGTGGCCAGCGGAGTCGGACCAGCCCAGAGTGCCAAAACTGGCAAACTGGAGCGCCGGAAGCCGGGCCGCTGCGGGGCCACGCGAGGTGACCGGCATTGGCGCGCCAAATGGCGCTCTCGCCGGCCGGAAATGGCGCGCCGGGCCGACAGTTCCGGAGCTGAGGTGACCCTGGGTCGTGTCAGGTCACCACCTCGTGACACTTATTTGTACCACTTAGACACGGTCGAACCGAGCGAGGAGCTCATTAGCGAAAATGCGGCGCCGTGGTCACAGCCGCTCGCACTCATCAAAAAGCAATTAAACGCGAAACTAAGCCATCGCAGGTGAGGGACTGGCAGGGGCCTGTTCGCTCGCACGGTCCGGTTAGACGCAGCTCTCAGTCCTGCCAGCAGGCCTGACGTTCGTGGGAATCGACCCGACGTTCTGACATTCACGGCCGCATCAACGCCGTAACGACTGCACAATTAGGACCGCCGCTACGAGCGGTGAGGACTGAGAGCCTCGACTCCACAGCTCCGGTACCGGTCGAGCAGGGCTCAGCCTCGGTGACAGCCCCCCCCCCCCCGGCGGACCCGCCGCCCCCGCTCTGGTTGCCACGCCCCCGTAGCATGGCGGTGGGGGGACGACCCCGGGGCATTAGGTCCGACTGCGATCGGCAGATTCCGTCAGCAGCGGGCTCGGATGGCACCTGACGACGCGGCGACAGCGTCAGCAGGACGCGGACAATCGGGACAGCGGCGGGCGGCAGGAGCGATAGGAGCGGCAGGAGCGGCAAGGGCGGCAGGGCAGAATTAGAAGCAAGGGCGGCAGCAGCGTCAGGGGCGTCATGGTAGCGTCGAGAGGCAACACGAGTACGGGCAGTGGCAAGATCAGGGGCGGGGGGCAGCAGGGACGGACTAGGGGCAACAGCGGCAGGGGCGAGGACGGCAAGAGCGACAGAAGCGGCAGCAACAGTAGGGGCGTCAGTAGCTGCGGCAGGGCGGTGGCGGCATAGGCGGCGGAACGGGGGGGGGGGCACCGTGCCCCCCCTTGAATTCTGCAAGGGGGGCACCAATAGCAAGGTGCCCCCCCCCCTTAAATTTGATGTATTAGTACTAGGGGCAGATTCGGGGAAAACTCCAAGGGGAGGGCCATGAATCGAAGTGGTGCCCCTACCTATGCCCAAAATTAAAACCTCAACGGATTTCGGCCACTTAATTTTGGTGGTGCCCTATTTTCAGTTTTTTTTATTTTCTTTATTTTTGGTTAGTCATGTGATGACTGGTGCCCCTGCACCTGCTAGGCCGCTGATGCCCCTGGAAAGACTGTGGTACCTACCTACCCTGCCCCCTTACAAGCCTACGGTGGGCCCTGACATGACTTAGGTGCCCATGGGCCCTGACAGGCCTGTGGTGTCCTTGCTAAGCCTGTGGTGTCCCTGGGCCTTGGCAGGTTTGTGGTGCCCCTGTTAGAACGCAGGTGCCCTTGACAGGTTTGTGGTGCCTCTGACAATCCTAAATTGCCAACGACAGGCTTGTGGTGCCCTTGACAGGCCCATGGTGCCCTTGCGAGGCCGGTGGTTCCCCTGCGAATCCGATAGTGCCCCTGGCAGGCCTCTGGTGCCCCTGGCAGGTCTGTGGTGCCCCTGGAAGACCTGTAGTGCTTTTGCTAGGCCGATGGTGCTCCTGACAGGCCTGTGGTGCCACTGACAGGCCCGTGGTGCCCCTGCTAGGCCTATGGTACCCCTGGCGGGCCTGTGGTGCCCCTGTCGGCTGTCAGGCCTGTGGTGCTCCTGGCAGGCATGTGGTGACCCCAGGCCCTAAGTCATGACCCATGTGACCTCCACCCTGGGATTCGCCACTGATTAGTACCATGCGATGGCTTCTTGGTAATTTGTTACATGTAGGATTAATGGAATTTATCAAACGAGAATAAGGAAGAGACAAACACATAGGTACTTGGGGATCAGCTTAAAGTTAACCACACATACGGGCAGGGGTGTAATTTTCCTAAAATGATTGTGGGTGCCCAGCTGTAGGGGCGCCCGGCGCCAGGCCGTTTTGGGGCGCGATAGATATTCTTTATGTGGGAGCCTAAATTAACACCGAATTTGATAACATTGCTAGCCGAATGGCGCTTCAAGTGACGTGTCTGACTAAGCAAATACACGCTTAAAAGTGGAAACTGACCGGAAGGACGTAAAAAGCTGTAGAGGGCGCCATCCAGTAGGAGGGGCACCAAATGTGGAGGCACCAGACGGTTACGACTTACGAGGGCGCCGTGAGACGATGAAAAGGGCGCCATTCTCTTGGGAGGGCGCCGAGTGATTGAAAACGCTATGTGGTCCAGGGGCGCTAAGAGGCGAGAAGGGCGCCGCACAGTCAGTAGTGCTACGTTGGTGGGGACGTTGGGACGCCAGATGGTTACGAGGGCGCATTGAGATCATGAAAAGGGCGCCATTCTCGTAAAAGGGTGCCGAGTGATTGAAAACGCTATATGTGGTTCAGGGGCGCTGAGAGGCCAGAAGGGCGCCGAACAGTCGAGGGATGCACGGTGAACAGAGACCTAAGGACGCGAGACGGTCAGGAGGGCGCCGTTAGACCATGAGAATGGCGCGGTGCTGTCAAAAGTGCGCCATTCTCCCAGAAGGGCGCCGAGTGATTAAAAACGCTATATTATCCATGAACGCGAGACGGTCAGGAGGACGCCGTTAGAGCATGCCAAGGGCACCGTACTCTCGAAAGGACGCTTGCAGCCTTGTAAAAGACTTGTGGGTGCATTTTCATCATTGTGTGGGCATACATAATTCAGGATTGTGGATGCATATGCCCCCACAAAGAGATATAAAATTACACCCCTGCATACGGGGGTGAACTGCCATTTTCGTTTCGTAAAAAATAAAATTAAAAAAAAAAATCATCGTGTCAGGGCTGTGACGAAAAATAAGTGGCCTAAATCCTATGAGAAAACAGGATTTGGGGGTACCCTAGGTTTGGCCCCTTGAGCCATGGTGCCCCCCCTTGTCTCAAATCGTTCCGCCGCCTATGGGTGGCGGCAGCCGGCCGGGCGCCGCCATGCTGCGGTCACGGACCATGAAGGTCAGAGCGGTGGTTGACGGTGACGCCCAATGCCAGCTCGTCGGACCGCGACAGCGCGCCGCGCCGTACCGCACCGTACCGCCAGAGCCAGGTGCGCTATGGAGGGGAAACACGGCCAGTGGTCTGGGCGAAAAAGGCCAGCGCGGCGGAAAAACGGCGGCCCTGGGGTGGAAGTAGGAAGGCAACAGGAAAAGGAGACATGAGACATTGGTAGAAGAAATACGAGCAAAGCGGTGGGTGAAAAATGAAAGAGTGAAGGTCAGTAAAACAGAAGCAGGAACAGGAAACAGCAGTAAAGAGAGACAAACTGTAGAAAACGGAGAACTGCGGTGACGAGACCAAATACCAAATGATGGCAACGACGGAGGCAATATTACACGCTGCAGACGCTTTGTCAGAAATATGAAAATTGAAAGCAGAGTAGCCCATTGCATCAGCGAACTAAAAGTTGACAGGCTAAACGGATAAATTGACAGCGAAATCGCCTCGTCGACGTCTACCAAAACAAATTGCCGACGAAATATTATGCATCAAGAACAGCCTCGCTTCTCAAACCGCAGCCGATGTCGGAATGTCCAGAATGTTTCCCACGCAACTCATACGAGACAGATTGATGGCTTGCATCAGCTGCAAACCTATGCACACCGCCTGCAGCACCGGCCCCAGGAGGCGCGAATCACCTGTGAACATCTCGGTATGAACTCGCAGCCCCCGCCGAGTCGGGTGTCACTAGCGCCTTATTTATGGACCATTTACCGGCTATCGTATTTCCCAACACATCAGCTACCAACCCACCGACAAACCGCAAAACAAACAAACCCCGATAACCCGCGATGGGAATCGAACCCACCACCTTTCCCTCCGTCTGCCTGCGGGCGTTACTCACCGCCGAAGGGCTGTGTGTGCTGGCCGTGCTGGAGGTGTGCGGGTGCCGGCGCCGGCGCGCACGGCGGGCCCGGACTGCCGTTCATGGGTGTCGGTACCGACTGGGGAGGCACCGGCGGCGGCTGGGTGGCCGCCAGCGCGTGCGAGGGCGTCAACTGGGCCGGCGGCGGCTTGGCACACGTGTCCAGGTAGCGATGTAGCTCCGGGTCGGCCACGCTCTCGTACAGACTAGTGGGGATGTTCTCCAGAGACGCCTTGGCTTGCTCGCACTCTGAAACAGCACACAGATACGAGAGTTAGGCCAGGGTCGAAACAGTTTACCGACGCGATTAGCGCGATCAACATGCACGGTGGGTTTGAATACGTGACGGTTTCGGCGGCCAAGAGAAGCTGCTCGGGGTGCCGGTGGACACGGGTTTACCTGGCTGGCTGCAGACAGTCGGTGCGTTTAGTTAGCGGCTGTCGGGGCGGCAGTGGCCACTGTCCGCGCGCCGTGGGCACTGTATCACATTCCTGAGCGCCCGCCAAATCTGCCGGCGGGCGGCGCCGGGAGCGGCTGGTGCCCCGGGCGGCGGGGAGCGACTGGTGCCCGCACCACCAGCGGCGGCACCACAGGTCAGCGGGGCCGTCACCGCGCGCGTCACCAGCTGCAGCGGCCGCCGCTCTGCACCCCGTCACGGGCCGTGACGCGCCGTGTGACGCCGCGGGGAGGCGGCGGCTCGGCGCTGTTTGCTGCGAGAGACGTGACCGGCGGGCTCGGCACGCAGCGCCGCCGGTATGGTAGGAGCTCGGCGACGAGGTCAGGTTATGTCACAACACACCTCAGAGCGGGGGATACAGAGGGCTGGGACTGAGGCGGCAGCTCCGGGTGGCACCGAGGAACTGTGTCACGACTGATGCTCCGGGTTGGGCGGACTGATACCCATCCCGTGCATTTACTGATGGAGACACCTCCACAGAGGTTTGAACCCGTCGTTCTATAACAGTTTTACTTCAAATACCACCTAACACCATTCACAAGTCGGACGAGTCAGACGTATTTTCCGTGAAACAAGCGGACTTGCTCGCATGTCTTCACAGCTCCTTGACCGACTTAATCCAAAACAACGGCTTTGGAATTTTTTTCTGTGTTCACGGTTTTTAAATAATCCCGAGGCGTTGCTCGGTGGCACCGTTAGCAGCCGGAGAGGGTTCAGGTTCTATTGCGGCGGCGGCGTTAGACTCAGACCGGGCTGAGGTGCTCACTGCTCACCGGGAGCGCAGTTTGGGGGCGGCTCAGAGCCTGAACGGCAGGTGCACGCTGAATCACCGGCTACACCTGTCCGGCCGACACGGCTGAATCAGAGCAGGCGCTTCATAGTGCGAGGATTAGGGACGCTAAACTGCGAACAAATCCTTCAGTTGGTGTACAGATAGCTTGTTCGAGTGGACAATGGGCATTGGGCATAGGTACTGCATTTGTTATATATTTGTGACAACATGAGCAGTTCTAAAAAAGTTAACTTCTTTCTTGGCAAGAGACGAGGTTGCAAGGGAATGAATGAACCGTCTCGACAAATGAATGAAAAATGAATGAAAAATGAATGAGCCGTTGATCAATGAATGAACGAATGAATGATTGAATGGTCGCCAGCCCACAAGCTGACAACTTTTCGACCCTGTCGATCATGTGCCCACAAAACTCTAACAAAGCCGCCTGCTGAACCTGCTATAATCCGTTCACGACACGAGTCGAGCGGCGGGTGGCGACAGGAAAAGAACGGGGAAAACTGCCCGGCGCCCTCACAGCGCCGTCAGCTCGGCGCGGTGTCGTGACGTGACGCCGTGACGGCCGTGACGTGACGCCGTGACGACGGCCTTCAGTTTGGCGGCGTGCACACCGCGACGCTATGATTCCATCAGCCATTTATAGCGCCCGTGGCGGGCGCGGAGGCTGCAGGGCGTCGGAAGTGCCCCTGGCCTTGGCTGACACGCCAGCTGCACACTCAGTCCAGAGGGGAGCGAAGAGAGGGTGGCGGCAAGGGTGGCGACGGCAGCCGACTTACGAACGACGAGCGCTCACGAAAAAATGCTGTCGTCGTTTGGCACATGCTGCCAAGGTCACTTAGGGAGGATCGTAGGTACAGGACTATAGAGCACGCTCTGTATCTAGGGACAAAATTGCAGCGAATAATTGGGTCAGCTGTATGTATTCAGGTGGTTGTTCTAATCGGAAATTCCATGTATTTGTTGCTTGTTTTCTCACATGACACATAACAAGCACCAGGTGCCAACCAACATCTTTAGACAATGTATCATTATCTCTTAATCCAGATGCCTAATTGCGATTGGTGTTTTTATTCACACGGATCTATTTTCCGTAATGACGGAGACCAGTTCAGTGCCAGTGTCCTGTTATGCCTTTGTCATTTTACCTGCTTGGCACTAGGACCGTCAGTTAGGATTTCCGGATATGAATCACCTGGGTTAGCCCAATTCTTTATAATAAAAAACAAACCAAACTAAGCACAAAGGCGACTCTGAGAGACCCCGGCCGTGCTGTTTAAATACGCCGCGACCTGTCGGCAGTGTAAACAGCTGCATTTGGCGGCGGCGTGTGTCAGCTCAGAGGCCTGCACGGCTCGCGGTCGGGGGACACGTCCCATTGACGGGCCCGGCCCGACCGGCAGCCTCTGAGGTGGCCGGCGGTCCCTGGCAGAGCGACATTGCCGGTGGGGACAGGGACAGGGCGACGGCTCCATTCATACACAGAGCCAGCGGGATGGGCGGAACACGAACTGGCGCAGCGAAAACTCCGGGATAGGAGCAAGTCTTCGGAATGTGGACTAAAAGGATTTGGCACATTTCAACACGAGAGCTGCTTAGAGCTGCCCAGACAGGTGGGGTTGCGCTTTGGCATCCTGGTTGGTATGGGCAGAATGCTCCATGCCGTCGGGTACCGTGCTTCATACGATGTCTGAATAGCCATGGCTCGTCTCGTCGTTCATTACTCGTCGTTCTGCGTCGTCCTCCATGCCGTTCTCTGCGCCGGTCTGTGACGTTACCCGCCATCCTGTGTGCCATTCTGAGTACCGCCACCCTGTGACATTATCCGTCGTTTTATCCGCCGTTCTCTGTGTGTCGTTCTGTGTGCCGTTCTGAAGCGGCGGCGGCGCGGCGGAGCCACCAAGGCCGGCGGCAGCGGCGCGGCACGGCCGTGCCATTGTTTGGAGTCACCGCCGCCGGGCCACGGTCACCTTGGGGCTACCGACGCGCCGCTATCGGCGAAATGCGCCGATTGCGACGATTGCGGCGCGCATTATGGATGCCAGGTCGGTGACGGACGCGCGGTGTCCGAGCCGGGAGCGGTGGCGGAGCTGGTGGGATGGAGGAGCGGCAGACACGGACAGACACGGACAGATACCGGCCAGTCGGTGGACCCGCTTGCCGCTCCCCGGGAGAAACAGCGGACCAAACTCGATACCATTGTCAGGATCATCCTTGAAATTCGCTTTCATCTCAATGCACTTTAAACGGATCAAGATCATTCATCTTTGATCCGCGCCTGCAATAGCTCGCGTTCACAAATCATGTACAACTTCAACCGGAATAAATTTAGCTACGGAAACACTCGAAATAGATCTGCAAGTTGTTGCCGTCTGGTTCCCAAGAAGCATGCAACGGTCTCTCCCAGATGTGTTGACCACTAATCTGGACCCGACAGGCTGCCAGGGCTATTCAGTGGACAGGGTTGCTGCTAGGGGGCAGGGTTATACGTGGATCCCTGGAAAAGGCAGCCCGGGGCGGAGCTTTAGCCGCGGGTCTCAGAGGGGGCGGAGCCGCTCCGAGCGGGGAGTCCGCCGGGATAATGATCGCCGGACGCTGACAGGTGTAGCAGCTGAGATAGCGCGGCGCCGCTCAGAACCCTCCCGGACAGGGATATGGATCATCCCCGGCTCCGGCCACCTGCCGCAGCGCGGCACACGTTACGGCACAATCCCGCTTATACTCGAACAAGGTTCTGTGATTGCATATGCATGCCAAATAACATAAAAACGAGAAATACACACAAGGTTTTTACACAATGCGCCGTTAATTACAACACATGTCTAAATAAGGGAGAAGTTTCCGAGCAGTGAAGTGCGCAGAGTGGAAAGGTCGGAGCGGCGCAGACAGAGAACAACTGTGCAGTGCAGCGGAGTGGTTGGCGTTGCTCTGTCTGTCCTGCATGCCGCCCTCGGCCGGCCGCGACTGTGGTCATCAGCTGAACAAATAAACTGCCGGCCATCTGGAGGGGCTGCACCGGACCGGCGGAGCACCGCACGCAGACAGAGCGGCGGCCGAGGACCGGAGCGGCGCGGCGACCCGACACAACCCTGCCCCGCGGCCCGCAGAGCGCGACCCGGCCGAGCCGAGCCGAATTAGCCGCGCCGCGCCGGCTTCGAACCCGGATTAGAGGCATTTCCGGCGGTGGCGCGGCGCCGCTGTTTTTACCGCAAATATTGACACTTTAATGCACTTTTGGTGGTCGCGGCAAACAGCTCTAGCCACAAATCACCGGCATCGAAGTCATGTTGTCACAGCCGAGGCTCGGGATCAAGAAAAACAGGCCCGGGGGCGATGAGGGCGCGAGAGCCGCTCGGCGGCTTCCGGCGCGCGCTGGCGCCGCTCCTCGGTCCTCGATCCCGGCGCGAGCGAGCTGCGTGCCCCACCACCTGGATCACCGGAAGTCGAGGGACGCACTGTCCCCCGGCGGAGGCCGCTCCTCAAAGACCGCTCCGGGGCGGGCGAAGGAATTCCGCGCGGCATTCACCCGGCCCCCGGGCCCATTGTGGTCTGTGCGCCAAAACCCACCGACATAATCCACTGAGACCGAGAAATGCCCTGAATGAGACCAGATTGGGTTAAATTACGCGCCACTGGACACCGCCGCTTCCGAAACTCGCCGCTCCGCCGTGCCGCAGATTCCGCGCGTCGTTTTTGGTGACGGCTTCAGTGCTAACCACGCCACTATCTAATAACCGGAGACGATTTTCCGTCCGCGTATCTGGGTGTCTAATTACGGGCGTCCCGAGCGTCCCGCGCTCAGAGAGAACGACCTTCCTCTCAGTGGGAGCGAGCGGAACAGATCGCTCATCTCGGCCCGGTTAGTTGCGACAGAGACGGACCAGCAAAGGACACCGCCGGCGGCCCACAGAAGCGGCGGCCCGGCGCGTGCTGATGTGCGGAGATAGCCGACGAGAGGAAGATGCGCCGCTCGATTTGACCGGATCCGGTGGCACCACGGACGGGAAAAGTGTCAAACTTTCCGCGCTCGGCCGACGGCCGCCGCTGGGCCTATGTCCGGGAGGGTCGGACATCCTGACAGGCCTGACGGACTTCCCTGTCTGTATCTTCCCATCGGCGAGCGTAAACATAAAAATAGCCAATAACAGGGTGTCCATTCACACTGAATATCCGTGTTCGAGTTGGGAGTTCTGAACATGTGTGCATCTGTTTACTATTCATTTTTTTCCGCAATGAATTAAGTGAATAATGGTGAGTCACCATTGACAACTGTTACACATGAGCTTACCCCTAGCAGACCTTTTAAAATCACGCACCATTACGCATTGAAACAACTACAGAGCAACTGACTTGCAAGGACACTCGGCACTATTATAAAAAACTCGCTAGTCATTTCCGTCACAAATTCAAAGGGCGTTTGAATCAGTATCATACGATAACGATTCGTGAACTGCATGTAGGTATTACATGCTCTGGAAACCTTCCATGAGACCACAATGGATTCCATGTATCATCCACGCATTACCACTGGTTCAGCCGGCCGAAATCAGGCGGCGCCCGTCCGACCCCCGCGCGGCGTGGGACAGCGGGCCGGGCCGGGACAGTGGGGCCGGGCCGGCCTGCAGGCCTGGTTTTCAGCGCGTGACCAGCGCGGCGCGTCCCATCACCGTCATGGGGCGCGGCAGATCCCCCGACTTCCGGTGGAAACGGTGTCAGCCAGGTCGGGCTCGACGGCCCGCCGCGCGCACCGGTAACCGGGCGGCTCTCTCCGCCGATGGACCCCAGCGAGGACTGGGCAAATAACAATCACACACAGCGCTGCCGCCGGCGGCGCCCGGTCACGGCGTGTGAAAACGCGTCACACAAACACGCCTCCTGCGCTGACCGGTTGCGCAAACGGACCCGCAGCGCAGCGCAGCGCACAGCGCAGCGCGGGCACAGCGCAGCACCGAGTCCAGCCGGACCCCCGGCTAACAGTGGCGAAACAGAGGGGAGCGGGTCACTGCTGACACACATTGTCCTCGAACCGATAGTGGAAACCTCGAAACTCGTGATGTGATTTGCATATTAGTACTGATGTATATTGTTTGTAATTTGGGTGCAGTAGGCAAGCGGCGTGGAACCGCATTCCATTAGCGTATCCTTCGTGTGAGTTCACACGATCGTGTTCGTGTGAATTTGCTCCTTCGCTATTTGCCTTGCAGCCCGTCATTGTCATGGGAACACAATGGCGTGTCCTGCACACCCTCTCACGTGCATACCGAGCGCCTAAAATGACCCGACCACGACAGAGACATTTCTTATAGGGCAGAACAGGGTCTCGAGAAATTAGCCAGGCAGCAATTATGTAGGTATTTTGCCTGTTTGGCCGCGCAAAAAAAGAAACGGAAGGAGTAGCTTCATTTGTATATCGTGTGAACTGTGTACTGTGTAATTTATATCCATACGCTATCCCATCAATGCAAATTAGTTCATTAACTCATTTCGGTAGGACAGAGGCGAAGCCGGTCTCAGCCACAGGGCACTGGACTCGGGCAGTGATTGGCCGGACAATGGCCGTGCCGATACGATCGTCTGCGCCGCAGTGCCGCGGTCAGTCGGCCGGCCAGTTCCGAGCCACTGCCCTGGGAAGGGGTACGGAGCGCCGGCCAGTTCCGAGCCGCTGCCCTGGGAAGGGGTACGGAGCGCCGGCCAGTTCCGAGCCGCTGCCCTGGGAAGGGGTACGGAGCGCCGGCCAGTCAGGTGCCATGGCAGCGTCCGGTGTGAAATGATGTCGGCCCGTTCCGCAGAGCGACTTCCGACAAACAACAGCAGCCCACTCGGGCTGCCCGCAGCCTCCCTATCACTCATAGAGACTGTCCGCCTCCAGCGCCCGCCTCGCCGCCGCCAAAGTGGAGCTCAAGAACAACCACCTGACGAGCTGATGATTCCCAGAAAGCAAGCGCTTAGACTCAGTAAGAGCATCATCACGATATGCTAAATGCATTCTTTTCCAAGCCGGCGGAATGTCCAGAATCTCATCCATTTCAGTTTCTGATGTTATCACCAGTTTCTGAGATCCCTCATGTCTCAGTCTGTTGTAGAATCACCCGGACCACCCATCAGAGGCGCGTGCCGACGCCAACAGAACAGGTGTCCTCCACTCAGAGCCTTTCGCCAAACTCCGCAGGACACCTTCACCGGCGCCGGCTCTAAACAACACAACGTCCTTCCCTGCGCGGACACACGGCGGTGCCAGGAGGCGAATGTTTGCCGAATTTTCGCCCGCACCACGGCGCTAAAGAGCTCGACGTGGTAGCGACTGCGGCCGGGTGCGACACGGAACGACAGGGCGTTGGCGGCAGTAGCGATGGCGATAGCGATGGTGGGGGAGGCGGGGTGAGGGTGAGGCGATGACAGCCGGGCGCCCCACCCTGTGGGCGCGGCGCCCCACCAGGCGCCCTGACCACGGGCCAGAGGGCGCCGGCCAGCAGGGGCGCGCGCCCGGGCCGGAAACAGCTGCGCTCGAGTGACCGGCCGATTGACTGACAATTGTCCAGGTGGACGTGCTGTTGTGAGCCCTCGGCGACCTTTCAGGGGGACAGCGAGAACAACACCTCACCATGCACTTCAGTGGCCCTTCGGTGACTTCCATCAGTCCCTTCTAACCAGCCGTCATCTGACTGACGTCTCACCACACGTCACATGACAGCGATGATGAGCTAACTTCCTGGCGGGCTGGTCTACTTCACGCCATCCAGAGCAAACAAGTGAGACGTGCCTGTCAGTCGGATGACCAGAAAAAGAGACAAATCATGATTGATCGTGATCTGCCGCAGCGCCCGCCTCAAGGGTTTCTGAGCGAGGCGCCGTCCGCCAGTAGTGAGATTGAGCCCACCAGCCAACATCCAGCAGCTCACATTTATAATCCGGTGAGACCGGAGCCGTCAGCTCGTTTCGACAGCCGCGTCAAACGTCTCTGAGTCAGAGCGATCCATCTCTGGGCCGCGCCCTGCCCCGGCGGCGTCACGGAGCCATCAATCAGCCCTCTGCGCGCGGCGACCACCGGCGGCAGCGCCGGCGACTCACCGCCGCCTCCGCGGGTGGCCGGGCCCACTCGGCAGCTGCACCGCCTGTGATACGCCACCGCCGACTGTAAATATTTGTCATCATCAATCGGAGCGCGCCTGCAGACGGCGCGGCGCCGCCGCGTCCGGCCCCGGGCGCAGCCGCAGCCTCCACAGCAGCCGCCGCATCTCTGCAGCGGAGCGGGTCAGGAGGCGGCGTCATCCCAGAGGGCCAACCCAGCCCCTGCTGTGCAGCGGAGCGGGTTAGCAGAGGCAATGACATGACCAGTAGCTGCCAACGGAGCGGCTAAAGCACTGGCGTCCTACATCGATCAGCTAACCGCAACAAGTCGACCTGGAGTATGGACAACGAGGTTCATGACCAGATGCGAGTCATTTTCTCAGAAACACCGGCTCATATCCTTTGAAAGCAGCTGCCGCAATTGTTACAACGGCGGCTGACATCTATCGACTCATTGCATCACACCCATCGAGTGAGCGCGTTTGAAGTGTGCCGATTTTCCCGGAGAGATCTCATGACACTGGGGTGCAAAACTTTTACGGCGGATCACGTGCTGATGGTGTGTGCACGGGCCCAACAGAAGCCACTTGGTGCAACGCCTTCCCGACTGCAAGTTACAGAGTGAAGCGATTCGCGCGACGCGTCTATCTTGACCGCCGCACTGCACAGAAGCCGCATGACTGTCACTTTGGACAGCTGCATTGAGTGCCAACTGGCTGACGCGGTGCATCAGAGCTGCCGACTTCTGAGAGCTGTTGGAGAGAAGAGAAAATGGAGAGCAAGGAAAGAAGAGAGCAGAAGAGAGGAGAGTAGAGGGCACAAGAGTAGAGGAAAAAGAAAAAAGAATAAAGGAAAATGAAATTAAAAAAAGGCACAAGAGGAGGGCACAGAAAATGAGCAAAGTGAAGACAAGACAAAAATACCGGCGTAAGACCGTCACCAAAGTATTGTGACCCTTCCGACCCCGGCGCACCCCTTCCGTGACCTTCACGGTGACCTCTGTCGGGGCCACAATGCTGGCATCAAGTGCCACCGACTCCGGTACAACGACATCGATCCAGTGACAACGTGAGGCGTAGAAATGGGATGCTATGCCGCCGTTTGGAAACACGTATCACCAGCTAAAAGATTCCAGTAAGGTTCTACGTAAGGCAGGCCAGACGTATTCAGTAATGTGTGAATAAAACGTAACAAAGAGGCAAGACATGGTTTACTTCAATCTGTGCGAATCAAATAATCCGCTGTAAGTGGATTACATCCTGCAGAAACAAAAAATATCTCGTTGGGATATCCCAGCCCGGTGTACACGGCACAAACTTCTGCACTGTTCCCTGTGTAGGACTGATGGGTCGCTGCTCGAAACAGCAGCTCAGCAGGGCACCCGTCACCGACAACAGTCCGTTACAACGTGTAGACGATTAATCATACGTAGTGCTACAGTTGAAGTGGTTTGGAAGCCTTTTTCTGGTCATCACTTTTGACAAAGACCGGTTGTACGGCAGAGGTTGCCGAGCAAAGTACATGATTGTAACGTAGCGCCAAGTATCGCGAAAAAGGAGATAATGATTATGTCAATCGGTTCCCTAGGATGTTCTACTAAAATGACACGTAAAGAGTAGCAATAGAGAAGGAACAACACAGATTCGAGGCTTATTTTTCAAATGAGCTATCACAAAGGCGAAATAAGAGTTTGAGTTCAAATGGCATATCACCTAAGAAAAGTTAATATTCTTACAGAGTGGACGTACAGGCACACATGTTCAGATGTATCCATTGAGGAGCCATCGACTCCGTGGGGTACTCACCACGCTGAAGATTCTCCAAGTGCTCCCACAAAATGTCTCCCATCCACTGAGGAGTTCGCTCCAAAAAGTTATCTTTGCCCATCGCGCACATTTCGCGTCCGGTCATATTGAATTTGTCTATTTCCACACCCTCCATGCAGAACTCGTTTGTGGCCCAGCACAGCCAGTGCACGACATCCATCTGGGTCCATTGCCGCGGATCTGAAACGGAAAAGTGCAAGTCAGGTCAGGCCGGGTGAGGGTCGAACCAGCCCTGATAGAGTCAAAATAATTTATGCATGAAGACGGAACCAAAAGTAAGTCGTTGTAATCCTAGTCAACTTCCCGCAGGTAAACTATCGCCAGTGACAACTAACGCAGAAATTCTGCAGGAAACACTTTGTTTCAAACATGTTTACGGGAAAAACGGTCGAAAGCCAAACGGACGCAGCGGAACTCAGCGCCAGGTAAAACCGCGACCGGCCGAGCCGCTCCACCGAGTGAAGCAGTCACCACGTCGTGAACTTGAAACACGTGTAATTTAGATGCCGCACTGCTCGTTATTCGCAAACAATGCGGCCGGCGCTGTGTCAGCGCAGTATCATCCCATTGTCTTTGTGCGGCCCGGCCGCTCCGAGTCGCCCGCCGTCCCTGCAGTCGGTCTCACACCGGGAGCGGCCAGCGGCCAGCGCCGCCGGCAAAGGGCGCAATAACTTGTCCAGAAGGAGACCACTTATCGCGGGCCGGGCAGGGGCCTGGGAACCAGGCGCGCGGTGGGACCGGGCGCCCCGGCTCGGCCCCTCCGCGCGGCGAGCCCGACCGGTATCTCCGACACCGTCCTGTCCCGGGCCGTCTTGTGCAGTGTCCAAACTAGTTCCCGTCCCGCTCCAATTTTGGAGACTGTATCGAAAGCAGCCCTCAGCCGTGCCTCTTTTGCAGTAAACCGCTGCACTTTCCAAATTCGACGCAATTCGTTGCCTGTCCTCTGTCTAACCGCAAACTTTCGCCGAGCACAATCACCCTCTCTGAGCGGGGTGTCTTTGTGCGGGGCCGCGGGTCGCTCTCACGGTGCGTTCGGGAGCGGAGGGGAGCGGGGGAGTGCCACCCACCTTTGGGTATGTTGCGCCTCTCCTGCTCTTTGTTCCAGTTGTCGAAGGAGGCCATCAGAGCGTCGGCAATCTTCTTGTTGGTGCCCGGGGTGAGCGGAGGTACTTGATTCGGCAGGTCTGCGGGAGAGAGAAAATGAAACTGTCAGATAGGGTACAGGAGCACTTATTGTTATTGTGCACATTTCGGATGACTTATATAAGCTACCCTTTTATGGAATCATTCGTATACAATGTGCAAACATGTAATTACCAGTACATGTGATTCGTCTCACAGCGCCCTAAAACCAAATCACTAGCAAAAAAAACTTATGCATCACATCGTACGTCTAATACACTCTCGCATAAAAACAGAGAGCCATTCATATTTCTGTCGAAAGCCCGTTCACACCAATTGTGCCACGGCCGTGTGTTGGGTACACACCCCCGTCCAAACCCAGGCGTGTGCTCTAGCACCTTGAGGTGCAGCTTGGTCAGGCGTGGCTCACCAGGTACCGTATAATCCACGATCATTGCATGTCAGTCATGCACGCTCGCACCTCCAAAGAAGCCATTCTTTCACGCACCGCTGTTAAACACAAGAGTTTCCAGGAAAAAAGTGGACCTCTCAAATGCACTTTCCTGGTGCTACACAAGCCAAGCAAAAGTAACAAAAAGGAAAATAAACTATAGCATTACTAGCAAAAAGTACGACAGTTAAGCTGTTGGCGCCTATGTGTGCGTGTACCTTGGCAATAGCCATCCTGACGTTTATGGGCTTCATTTTCCCTTTATTTGCAGTTTCGTTTTTTTCTTTTCAAACATTTTGAGCACACATCACTTCGAGTAAACGTTATGAACTTATGACGCGACCCGGCATAGAATTGCCAAAAGCATGCATCTGTGCGCCTAGCCTGTAAGTATGTAAATATTTGCTGCGTTTAGAGCGTTCAACTTGGCTTTCCAAATTTTGGCCAAGGGTGACTGTTGTCGCCCAATATGACAACGGAGACTGTGTGCCACTGTCAGCCATCGACCATCGGCAAAGATACGATAACGCAAAATAATTCCAGTCTGTCAGAGCCAGCCCAGAATGAAGAAGCACCAAGCTGACCAAACTTTCGTCATTTGCGAGGGACCGGACAGACCAGACCAGGACATAGACCAGCAGACCAGGACATGAACCAGACCAGGACCAGACAGACCAGGGGAGCGGACCGCCGGGACCGGGGACCACCGCCGCAGCTCGCCGCCGACACCGCAGTACCTACCGGACCGTACCGTCGGCGGCGGCAGCAGCGGTAGCGACCACCGAGCGACCTCGGCCGACCGACCCCCACCGGGCCGACCCCCTCCCTGGACCCGGGCCAACATCAACCCCATGAAAACATCGACTCTACACGGACTGCGGGCTGCAGTTGCAATTGGCAATGATCAAGCGTATCGCTTCCGCCGCGGAGCTGGCTCGCGGCCTGCTGGCAGGGTCAGAATGGGCCGGGTCACCGGGCAGGGCCTCCCGGGTCTCCCTGCCTACCTCGCGCCTTCTTGTTGGGTTTGAGGAGCGCAGCGCGCGGCAGCACCGGCTCCGGCTTCTGGAACATCCTGCTGTTGAGCATGTGACTGGTCTGCGCCATGGCGGCGCGCTCGCAGTCCCACCGGTCGTCAACACTCGGCTCCGTAAGTCCAATGGCACGCGCACCGCTCGCACCGTCCGTACCGCACCGTCCCCCGCGCGACACTGACGCACCGGCGGAGGCGCGGCGGGCGCAGCGCTCCCCTCCCCTCCCCTCGCGGCGGCGGCGGGGGCGGCACGCCGGCCGGCCACCGGCGTCTCGGCTCGGCAGTCGGCCACCCGCCGGCCGCCGCTCTCCGCCGTCCCGTCACCCGTTCCCCGACGATCCGCGGCCTTCGCCTTCCGTCGCTGCCGACGATATTCCGTCGCGTCGGCGCCGGATACAGTACCCCTCCCCTCCCCGTGACCCATGCCGCCCCGTTTCCGCCGCCCGGCCCCGGTCCGGGAGTCGCTAATTACCTATCCGGGTCCACAACAACTCGCTCAATGAAGTTTATGAATGAATAGCCTCTGCGCGGGCGCGCGGTGGGCGGGGCTCGGGGCGGCGCGCGCGCTGATTGGTCGGCGGGCGGACGGTAGCAGGTGGGCCCGTGGGAGGTGGCTCGGCGGTGCGACGACGGCCGGTGAGACGACGGGCCGAGACTCGGCGCCGGGCGCAGCGCCGCCAATCGGAGGAACGGCCGGCCCGCCGGAACCGACGATCACCGACCGGGAGAGAGACGGAGAGAGGGTGGAAACGGGGAACGGTCAGGGTCACAGGACTGAGGGCAACGAGGTGGCGCTGTGAGAGCAGTGGAAGGTGGTGTTACAGGATTTGAGAATAAAATAACATTTTACTTTTTAAAAATTATTATTGTCAGCAGGCAGGCTCCCGTATCTTTTAATTGCTTTAAGTTTACAAACGTGAAACACTCAACGTTTGACCTGTGCCAAAAATTAAAAAAATCAATAAAAAAAGAGTAAAATATCACCGTTTAGACAAAACGTAATTCAGTTTTCGAAATTCCATGATCAATAATCCTGAGGAAGCATTTTAGCCGCGGATGCACAACTCTTCGAGTAACAGATGCAGAATCTTATGAAAGATGTTTTCAGAATCGCACGATGACGAAAATCCTGTTTATAACGACAAAATAAAACATAGATGCAGATGCGTCACGAAAAATCGTTTGGGTGTGGCGAAATAAGGAGCCGACATTTTCACCTAGCCGGGCCAGGGGAGTTCACGCACCCTAAGGGTTTTCGCAAATAACGTAAAAACGGCGGCGCGTAGCGCCGCTAAATTTGGCATACCCTATGAGGCAACCTTTTGCCACCTTCCCTGAAAAATTCAGATCCCTGTCATTTCAGGTCAGGTCAGGTCACCGGGTCAACAAAACCAGTACAATGTCAGGATAAAATTGGGCTATATTAGCGGCAACGGAATCGTTGAGTTTATCGTTTAATAGCGTAAGAACCGTAAGGCGTAGAGCCACCGAATTTCAAACACAACTTGGGGCAGCCATTTGACATGTGTCCTAGGTGTTTTGTGTACTAGTGACCTCAGGTCAGGTCACAAGGTCACAAAAACCGGTACATTGTCAAAATGGCACTGAAAATACGTTATTTTGTCAGCGAAATCTAGATTTGTTTATGGTTTTGATTCAAACTGGCATGATATGCTAGGCTCACCGAGTTGTATAGCCTACATCCAGTTTTTCAAGTTCGGGTTACCTGAGGTCATCTAGAGGTCACGACAAATTTTTAAGAAAATTTGTTTGAAAAGCTCCAATTGTAAAAATATGCTCCATTTCAACGTTTTTGTGTTGTTTTAGCTCCATTAAAGACGAATTCGGTGTTTGCTTGCTGGAAAAACACTTAAGTCAGGTCATCTGAGGTCAAATGAGGTCAAAATACGTTTTTGCTACTAACTTCGCACAAAATGATGCTAGAGTTTCAAAAATGGTGTCATTGTGATCCTTGTGATCAGCCGAATCGAATGATATGCGATATGATGCAGTTCGATTAAATTGAACTTAATTAATTAATTTAAGTTCACTTAAAACTTACGGAAATTTAAGGTTCACTTATGTTCGTAACAAAGTATAATCGTATCATTCGATGTGCACGAACGTGCTGCAGTTCACTGGTTCTTTTGTTTTTGCTCTATCCTAATTAGATCAAAAATTATAAGCGAAAACTTTTGACCTGTTTTAGCGAAATTTATACATCTACCTACATATACCCCCAAAACCCACTAAATATTGACCTAGAGCAATCAAATTAGCACAGGGCGAAATCTCCTATGGGCCCACATACCCTGTGACTAATTTGGCGTTTCTAAGTGCCATAGGAGCCAATTGCCAGGGGGGGTCGTACCAACCCCTCCCCCTGGCCGTCCGCGTTATGAAAAAGGCCCTGGCCTGGCGACGGTAAAGAGCAGCTGTAATAAAGCACCAGCCACCAACCCCAAGTAAGGATGAAAAAGGCAAAAATGTTCTATATAAAATCAGCCTGTGATGTTAATGTTTTATACTGGTATATATTTTATGCTGGGCCGAGCCCATTTAGAGATGCCCGGCCCAGGGACCCGGTCAACCACTGGGTCACCGGGCTGCTGATCGCATTCAATGAATTTCACCGCCGCCGCCGCCGAAAGATCAAACGATGGCATCCGCTCGGTAACTGCACTAACACTGGCTGGGAGGGCGCTGCGCAAAGCCGGGGTGAAATCGCTGCGGGACAACACCCACGACACATATACCTACAGGCAGACACACTACACTGCCATAAGGATCACGGATCTATGAAACACATCACGTAACATGTCAGTCTCATTACCTCAGTCTGGCAAAAGTCGAAAATGCCGAAAATGTATGTATCATACCAGCCATACCATGTCAGGGTCCAACATTTCTAACACATACCATTCTTTGTCACGACAGGTTAGTCAGGTCACTGAGGCTGTCATCCACGTCACAAATTGCACAATCATATCAACCACCGCATAGTTCACTTCAACCGCACCAGCCCTATCGCACCAACCATATCAGCCTCATTCCTTATCGGTCGGGAAGGGGTGAACTACCGTCACCTCAGAACCCCCACACACACCGCCCGGTGACCACAATATCAGGCCGGCAGCGGCGGTGGCGGTGGCGGTGGTCGGGTGATTATTACCTCAGCGGCAGCCGGTATCACCACAGACACTGGCGGCGTTGGGGGTAGGACTTCTGACGGCGAGTCTGTGGCCGGGACGGAACGCTGGGGTCCGTCAGGGCGGGCGGCCATGTGACGGGTCGGACAGACTGGCCGTCATCAGATGACGGGAGGTGTGTCGGGTCGGCTCGTGGAGGCCGCACGATGGCAGACTGCGTGGCACCGATGGGAAAAGATTCAAGCTTATCCCGGTTACTGGCGTTCGAAGGGCAGTCCCATCACTTGACCCTCGCCAGGGGAATGACCCGGTCCTCAAAAGAAAACGGGGAATATTTGTTTCTGGTCCCTAAAAAGCTGTTTCTGGCACCTAATTGCTGATCAGCCCCAAAATGCTTATTCGACCCTAATATCTGAATCTGGCACCTAAATGCTTCCACACAGCCTAAAGTTGCCAGATTGTCCAGCTGAACTCCGTATTTGCTTTTTGCTGATTCAGCACCAAAACCAAAACATCCAGCACCTATTTTATTCCACGTTTGCTTACCTAATACCTAATTCGCGTAATCTTCCTGATTTTATGTATCCTAACAACATGAACGTTGCATTCGGTGATGTCAAGTGCCATTTTCGCCAGTGGAGATAATGATTAATGCCATTTCTAGCCAAAAGAACATCACTAGCCAGCTATGGTGCAGCATAGCAAGACGCTCCTATACCAGCCCGCTATGTAGAGAAGAGACTAGAGATTATTGCACCCTCAGCCATTTTAACGTGAAAAGTTTGGATCCGTCACTTCCAGCCAGGCTCTCAGGTCATAAACTGGAGTAAAGCAAAATGTCAACTCTGAACAGACATGCCACGCAACCGGCCCTCTTTTCAATATTATTAGCTTTCTGCAATCATCGTCTGACTCCATCTCGATCAAACGCAGCATCCGGTTTCTACAGGGGCGTTTGACTGACCGGCCACACAATAACCAAAAACAAAATCAAAGCTTCATGCACACATATGACATAAGTAAGAAACGGATGAAAAAGGCACAACCACCGCACAACTCTGCGCGGCTAACAACGGACAATGTCCCACGCAAGATCCCGCGTTTCTTCAGCGGCCTTGAACGGAATGAAAACATTACATTTCTTTTTTGGAGCTATTTGATGACGTCAAAAAATACAATACCCGTTTTAATGGTCAAAATCGAGACAATTACTCACAAAAATGTTTCCCTTTAAGCATTACAAATAAATACTTTTAAATAGTTAAATGACATTGTTTTTTTAAACAAATCAATATTATTTGCTTACTTAAACGTCATATACAATGCTGAGATCACTACGGGGCTGTCTTAGAGTGTAGCTGCACTGGCAACCTTTAGGCTAGACTCCAGGGGTCATTATACCAGAACAACATGATTCTACCAGCCAGTAGTTCATTTTTCTACTAGATTGGTGCTACGCTCAGCATTTAGGTGCCAGATTCAGAAAAAAGAGTAAGGCGTACCGATGAATAGGTGCCAGAAACAGCTAATTAAGGTCATTTTCCATGATTGGTACTGGTATCCACCAAATAGGTGCTGAGGACCAATTTTGGGGCGAGTCAGCTTTTAGGTGCCAGAAATAGCTTTTCTGGGACGCAATTAAATGGCGTCCAAAGAAAACCCAAAGCCAGAAAACTGCTGAGGTTATAACCGGGTTAAGGACAATTAACGTCCCTAATTTCTGCTAAACCACAGAAGCTGATTCCAGTAAAGCGCCTTACAGCACATCATATCATATTTAGTATTTAGCCAGCTCCTCTTGACAACAGCCGGCCGGACCAGCCAGGCCCGGTCGGATCCAGAGGCCCGCACATGTAGAGACGGGGTCAGGCCGTACCATTTCACCTGAGGTTCCGGTAAGACCCAGCGCAGCGCACGAGTCGGCTGGCACGGGCCGACCGGCCTGGTTCCGGCAGAGCGGCACAGGCCAGAGCAGGGGTTTGGTCTCGGCGTGTTCCTGCTCCTTCCCTTCCTGTTGCCTGGCTCTGAGCTACAGTTCCAGTCGGCTCTCGCCTGGTCCTAAGACATTTTCGACTGATTTTAT